TGAATAATATAATATTTATGAATTTCTCATTTTAAATAAATCAATTTGTAGGTACGTTCTGTATAATTCTACATGAAAAGTATTATATTTGTTATTGCTTGTTTTATTATGTAAGAATAAAAATAAAATTTCAAATTAATTTAGGTACTTTGATTAGTACCTACTTATGTGAACTGACATGATACAGTAAATTGTATTAAATTTTATAATTAAGTTTTAAAAAGTTTAAAAAATTAAAAACTACGTTTGAAATTAATCATTTGTTTCTATGTACAAAAGTAAATGAGGATTAACTTTAGTTTTTTCTATGCTCTTGATTTTTTTAATTTTCTGTTCTAAATCATTATGTCTTTCCCATTTGCCATATGCTCGTCTAACATAGGTCATATAGTGAAATGATACATAGTGAATAACTGCAACCAATGCGTATCTAAAAAATAATAATTGTTCATAATCAATTAAAAAAATGTATTTACACTTTTATTTAATCACTCAATAATAAAATATTGATATAATTTAGCTTTTTAAATTGTTTACTATTATTGTTTATATCTATATTCTATGCATGCTCACTTTTTTTGGTTTAGATCCATTTTTACAGGAATGTCACTTAAAAGACATGAATATGTTGTGGAATTCAATGATAGTGTATCAGCTTCAATGAAAATGTGATTTCCCAGATTTATACTTCTGCTAATTATCCCGTAGCAATTTTTTTGTAAACAAGGCATGGTCTTTGATAGTAGATATCTTTGTAATAGGTTTTGGAGGTAAGAAAAACCTTTAGTATGAATTTTATTGATGTTATTTAATATTATTGTGGCTGAGTTTCTTGTTCTATTTTCCACGGAGCACTCTGTATTGGAGCACATTGTAGTATGAGTGGAACTTGGATTGTCTTTTATATAATCTTGAACTACTTTAATGACATTACATTCAACATTGAGAGTGTTTACTGTGGGAATGCATGTGGAAATATCAAAATATGGAAGAAGTAATTTTAATCATTGGTTGTAAGTTGATTTTGATGAACCATGAAGGCCAAGTTCTTTTGCAAGATTTAAAAATTCATTGTTTGTCTCATTTATAAATGAAGCATATTTTTCATAATCTATATATGCGACGGCTATTGAAACTATCACTGAATCAAATGGACACGTATTACTAACAACGTATGTCTTTTTGTTATATTTACATAGTGGAGCTATATTCCCATTTAAAATTACCGATGTTAAATGGGATCGCATTCAGGATCTATTTAGTATACGATCAATGTCTGGACATGACATGCATCTATAAATTTTGTTTGCCTTTTTTTATTTTTTTCCATATTATTACTTGCATTATTTCCAGAACTTTTTAATGGCCCAGTTATGATTGTTTTATATCCTCCCCATTGTTCTTCTTCATCTACTGTTAATGTACTGCCAAATGAACACGTCGGTGATAGACTTGGTGTTAAGTCTTGTTGATTACAATCATATTTTTCAATTTTGTTGCATTTTTTTATAGTCATATTGTCACTGAAATCTTGTTGAATAATTTTATTATTCCACTCAATCTCAATTAATTCTTCGGCAGTCATACTTCCAAATGAACATGCTGGTGACATTATTGGTGTTACCAGTTGATCAGATTCTTTATTTACGTTCATACTATTACTGAAATCTTGATGATTTATTTCATAATTGGACTCAAAATCCATTAAATCTTTTGTAATTAGACTTCTGGATGAACATGCCGGTGACATTATTGGTGTTACCAGTTGATCAGGTTCTTTATTTACGGTCATACTGTAACTGAAATCTTGATGATTTATTTCATAATTGGACTCAATCTCCATTAAATTTTTGGCAGTTAGACTTCCGGAGGAACATGTCGGCGACATTATTGGTGGTACTAGTTTACCGGATTCCTTAACTTTTTCGCTCTTGTTGTCACCTTTTACTTCATTATTACTATTAGTTTTATATTCTTTGAGCTGACAACTACGTGCAATTTTCATCGAACTCTCAATACTCATAAGATGAGTGACTACAAAACGATCAACTGCCATGGGCGTTGTCTTGTGTTTTAGTATATTATTTTTAAGCAAGGCAAAATCCCCTTCAACTGATGCAGATGAAGCATTTGTGTAAGGAGATTTGAAAATTGAACACATAATATTTGACCATAATGGAAATTCTTTGCATAGTCTCAATAAATTTTTCGTGAATTCTGGTAAATAATACGGACTGATTCTATCACCTTCCACTAATGAATAAGAGATGCTCTTGGATTTTATTTTATTCAAAAATTCATTAATTTTTGAATTTTCTTGTTCTGTTGTATTACAAACATCAATTTCCTCATCAGAATTATCAGAAAGTAATCTATTGTTATCTGAAATATAGTTTGACATATCATTTTCATTGATTTTTGTGCCTCTTATATTGTTGAGTAACCGTATTCTGGCTTCCTCAGCTGGACATTTGTTAGTACTTCCCATTTGTTCACCCTCTGTTTGACTTATAGATACTGTTAAAATATCTAGTAAAACATTTTCAAATTCCTTTAAGCAATTTGCTCGAATTAACAACATGACACATCTAACATAAAATTCTTTTAAACGGTAATTTTTTGTGCCTGTTAAACATTTCCACCGACAAACTAGTTTAACTACATGAGCTATGTCAATTCGGATGTAACATGTGGGTAAGTTATTAGATTCGGAGTACAAAATATTGAAGCATTTCTCCACATAATCGTTTAGTGTAATTCCA